AACGTCAAATTCAGATACTCTGATATCGGAACTGAGAGCTTACGCGTCAAGAAGTAAGACACTGCGAATATACAGAGAACCCACCACACCGTCCGGAGTTTAGCTTCCTCGATCAGATCCTGTACGCTGTCCATGGTGTTTTCCACAATTCGCGTACCCTAGAAATCCTCGATTCTGGCAAAATAACAATCTAGTACGCAAGAATCAACAGGGTGATGCTCCAAGCATAATTTGCAAGAATCTGGAAAAACAAAATACGAAAACAAAAAACTCCAATAGATTCTTCGAATTGTTGTTCAGATTCAGATAAAGCTAGAGTCAGCTTGCTTCACTTTGGTTTGATTCAAATGGCGAGCCAATACGGTTGCGATTTTCCCCTTATCTTCTTTCTCTTTTGATTTTCTACTGAAACATTATCTTTTGTGTTGTGAAAGTGAGAGAGAAAAGGCGTGGGAAGGGAATGGAAAGGAAGGGCCCAAGACGACGTCGTTACATTCGTCGTACATGTCGCCATGATTAAAGCATAAATAAGCTGTTGTGTGTTATTGTACTGTCCGGAGTCAATTGACGACTTTGCCCTTCTATATGAGGCCCAATTGAGATGATAAAGTTGTGCACTTGTGCTATACATGTTGAGAGAGTAAATTTGCAAATTGCAAACACAATTGCACAAGTTTGGATTTTATTAACATGCAAGTTGTACAAAATAATATCAAATTTTTATTTAAATTATTTTTTAAAGTATATAATATATATATACATTCATTTAGAAAAGGTATATATTTATCAATTAGGCATGGCTGCAACATTTAAAAAAAAAATTGCAAATCACAAACTCTAAGTCTCCAATGAATGAACTAACCATTTGACGGGCTGATTAATCTGATTTTTCTTACATTGCATATTTTTTATATAAAAAATACATTGGAATACACTATTTTGTACTTATTTAAAAATATATTGGAATACGCTATTTGTGAATACTTGTGAAAAGTTCTTTAAAATGTTTCACTTAAAAAAATCATAGCAAATTAATCAGTCATGAAAGGGCTTAATAACATCCTCCTTGTCCTAGTTAATTTAAATACAAAAGGATTGGACCAGGTGTGCAAGTTCTGTGGGGAAGAGGAGGAATCTTAGGAGCATCTTTTCTTTCATTGCTCAAGAGCCCAGGTGATTTGAAACCTATCTCCAGTCACTTGGGACAGGCTACGAGCAGACACAGTCAGTTTGAGAACTTTGTGGTACTCTATGTGCAAATTGCATATCAAACCTGCAATAGAAGACGAAATCCACTTTTCAAGCTACTTACTCTGGTGGATATGAAAGACTCAGAGTCTATGAGTATTTCAGCAAACCTACAGGTCTGAGAGAGAGAGAGACAGTGAGGTTGGCTCTGGAGAATTGGCAGCTTCAGTCAGTCTGCCTTTAGTGCTTTAGCTTGTAGTGTTTTTTGCGTGCTTGTTCGTAGTTTGATTTTCTTGTTTTCTTGAGGTGTGATTTGTTTAGGTTGTTTAGTAGGTTTTGTTAGCTTGCTAGGTCCCCTCGGGGGTACAGTGACAAGTTAATTTTGTTGGCGTTTCGATGTCGTTTCTGGAGTAAGATGTCAACTTTCGGGTCCTTAGCCTCTGTCTATGCCAGGAGTTTGCTCTTTCTCTTTCTACTTAAGGCTCTGATTAGTCTTTTTGGTTTCTTTGTGGACTCTAATGCGCTTATTTGTCGCGAACTCTGTATTTTCGTTTGAGTTATAAATCCTGTCGTGTCGAAAAAAAAATAATGATTTATTGTCCAGCTCAATAAATTGTTACCCTTATGAAAATAATGATTCCATAATCTATATATACTTGTAGGATATCCATTCATTCCAAACGAAAAAAAAAAA